TGATGATCATGACAATGATGATAATTATCATAATTATGATTAGTAGCAGTAGTAGTAGTAGTAGTAGTACCATTATCGTTATTATCAGTATTATTACTAAGATTATTATTTCTTTTTCATTATGAATATCAGCATTGCTGTCACCATTACTGTTGTTACTCTTTATTGTGAATAATATCATTATGATTATCGTCTTTATTGTATCATAACATCAGAAATAGATAAACGAATACACCAGCATATGATTAGTTCATGACCAATAATGCATAATTTTTCGTCAATAACGGAATCTATAATTAGTCATGTTACCCGTATCTTTGTCTTGGAACTGCAGACAGAAGCTAAGCACTGAGAAACAATTTAAGACCCACAAACAAACATTATTACTTCGTCAGGCCACCTTGGGTAGTTGTCAAAACAAGCTCATTAAGGCGTCAGGCAAACGTAGGATTGGCTGCAATCGAGTCCTGTGTACTGCTTAATGCTTATGCCCCCCCCCCCCTTTAATCTTTTTACTCTCAAGGAAAATATTCTCATATTGTTCTAAATTGTCCATGGATAATACTCTAAGTAGCCTAAATTGAGGTGTGTTTCATTACCTTTGGATTATATGATTTTTAAGTTTGACGAACAAAATAGCCATATCGTTATTTTTTGTAAATGTGATTTCTGTTCATATTTAGGGTTAATATATAGTTTTCTTATATATTTTTTCAGGAAACATCGGATCTTTAAACAGCAGGAGGCCAAGCGGAGGCCTACGTACGTCAGAAACTGTAGGTGAAGGTTTGAAAATCAATCTTCATCACACATACATCTTTGGGCGTGACGTGTATGACGTCAAACTACACATTCCCCTCAAGTATCGCCCGTAACGCACACTACCTTAATGCTCCGGTGATTTCAAGCGGTGAGCAAACGTTACATTCATCTTTATATCAGATAGATGACTCTAATAAAAGGTCTTGAATGCTTGATAAGCCTGAATGAGCTAACAGATCAACGAACAGGGGCTCGCGATTACGTTAACTGCACCTGCGAGCGTGTGCACATGCATGATGGCACGCCCGAGACAGATAATAAGGAACTGTTAACTGTAACAGAATTTACCTAACGTTTCTCTTCGAGTAACTGATGGGAGACGAAAGTAGTGTGCTAGAAAGAAAGATATTCAAACACACACGCACAAACCAAATACACACGCGCACACGCGCGCGCGCGCGCACACACACACACACACACCACACCACACACACAGAGAGAGAGAGAGAGAGACGAGGAGAGAGAGAGAGAGAGAGAGAGAGAGAGAGAGAGAGAGAGAGAGAGAGAGAGAAGAGAGAAGAGAGAGAGAGAGAGAGAGAGAGAGAGAGAGAGAAGAGAAGGGGGGTATGTAGATAGCCACAGATAGATAGGTATACGACAATAGAGAGACAGGTAAATAATTAGATAATTTGAGAGTTAGGTAGATACTGTATATTGTAACTGAAAACGCAAAACTATTTTCAGTCTTTAGTGGCATTTTGTCATCTCATCACCTTCATTATATATTTGTAAATATATTTAATATACCAATCATGGCATTGTACATATGTGTAACATAATAAAAAGTGTCCAGAAAAATAATATAAATTAACATATCCTTTATCTCGCCCATGCTTCTTTCTCTCTTAACCGACTTTAAATGGTAAATGACATTTCCCGACGTCAGAACTCTTTCAAAATGGTGTTATCATTATGGAGTTCACTCGTGTTGAAAACTCCTCAGAATCTTTTATCGGGCAACTCCTTTACTCTTCTTAATTTGCTTAATCTTTATTCTTTTAAACACGCAGTTCACGTTCTCGTAAAATCATCAAAGCGAAAGCTACAAATAAAAGATACTTTTATCATTCATAGTCTTTCATTGCAGACCAGGGTATTGAGGTGTGATATAATATTTATGGTAGGTTATTTCTATTTTCTTCTCCCTTACTAACCTCAAAATGTTAAGGTATCGGAGCTGACAATAATATTAGGATTATTAAAGACCTTACTCCTCTCTCATTCGTTTTACATAAGTATAGGTAACATTAGTGCCTAAGATTGTTTCACATTTTCCCTAAACTCACTAACAACATTGAGTTGGCGTTGAAAAAGGTCAATTCAAATAACAAAATCCTTCTCAAAGTTCATGATGTTTTAAATATCCACTTTCCTTTCCTTTCGTTTTCCCCTCACTAAAGAGGAAACTTCTCTTTGGTAAAGTCGGTCCTGAAAACTTGGAAAACTCACACTGCAGCTGCTGGAAGGAAAAGGGAGGACAAGCCTCTAAAATTGAGTACAGGAGAGGGTTGATATATATGTAAAAGGAAAACCAATAATACAACTGGACAAAAACAGATTTCTTCATTTTAAATTTTTATTGTAAACAGGATCCTATTGTACAAATAAGTTCTCAGTCCTCAGTGAAGAAGTAGATACAAAAGTAAAAATACTGTGGGTGCTGCAGATACCCTCCCAGTAACGGGTGTGACAGTCACGGGCAGAGCTTACAAGAGATGTACAGAATAATGACTAATTGGTGTTGGACTTCTCTGATAATTTTGCAAGCAATAATTCTGATGCTGACTGAACACATTATGAAGTAATACGTTATTTCCCTGCTGATAAATTTTCTTACAATAAGCTGAAACTACATGATATATTTTCCCGCATGTTTCCACCATCTGCCCAGACTGATTGTCACAAACACTTTGCAAAACACCTGCTGTAAATCAACACAAAGTTTTAATTGTTACCCAAGTACACTGTGCCAGTCAATACTAAAATGAATCCTGATATAAGTTCAATTTCAAATTATGCGCCAAAGATGACATTATCTGTACATGAAAAACAAAAAAATCACAGGGAAGGTTATTTTCATTGTCTGCAGATTAAAGTAAAAACATAATTGCATCTACATATTACATAAAACCTTTTTTTTTATCAATGATAGTACATTAAAATCTGATGATCTGACCAGGTCACTGCTCCAAACTAGTGACTAATTATTCAGTTTCTTTGGTTTGTGTACTTTCCCTTATGTTTATCATCCTTGGCCAAACTGTATAAAAAAGTGAACCTGTGATGCAGTCAAATGTGGATGGTTTCTACATGAAATGATGTCAACTTACATGTAAACCAGCAAGTATCATTTCTAATTCTTGTACCATGCAAAATTAAGTAGCTTTCACAAAACCCACTGCCACAAAAAACATGAGTGCGTTTGCAGGATAAGGCACACTCTCTTGGGATCCATCTGCCATGTAAAATAATTTACAATCATAACATCCGATCCTATTTTTTTCGAAGGAAATTTGCAATCACAAAATATGGATGGAAATACCTATACTCCTAATAACCATATATCCATAATGGCCACAGTGTTTCATAATGTGACCCCAATGCAAAGACATACCACTTCAATGAACATCCTTCTCTATCTAAAACCCTGTAAATCATATACCATTTAAATTCTCACGGAAAATCTCTATAACATACTGTACAAGCATAGCTACACCAAATGCATCTAAATGTAGATTACTTGAATAGTCTTAAAAGCTAATAAATTAGATTAAAAAATAAGTTAGCTGAACCACTCATCATATGAGACAATACGTAAATATACCAACAGGCCAACTACTCAACAAGAAATAAAGACATTCTCTGCAGTCAGTTTTAGAGATCAATAATCTCTTACTATTATTTTGGAGATCGAAATCTTATGTCCCCCAAGGATGGAGGTATTCACTGATTATTGTAGAACTGTATGATAACATGCTTAAAAGTAGGTTCACTCTACATTTCAATGAACATCTACACAATTCCTAAGCACTTGGACTTTTAAAATAATTTTTATTAGTCTTTTCTATACATCTTATAATTTTAGCCTTTAAACTTGAATTGTTATTTTGGGGATATGCATTTTCCATACCTTTCTTGCAGCAATAGTAATATTTTTATTCACCTTAATGATTTATATATCACTGTGATTTCAAGGACTACGACTTATGTCTGAAAATTCACTGTAAAGTATGTGAATCTATGCTAACAGTGTCTTTGGTTCTGAGTGAAAAGAAAAACAAAACCTAATACTAACTGTTCACTAAAAGGAGCATATACCTGTCAAGACACTAAATTCCAGCAGGTTTTGCAACTGTGACAATGTGGTGACACTTATAAAGAAAACACTGACTGACCACCATGAATAAATCCTTTAGCACTGAAAACTGCCCTAAACTCTATGGTGAGACAATGGACTGCTCAACTGGACCTATTTCTTTAAGCAAGCTCTTTTGTGCAACACTGGCCCCCACATAGTAGGCACACACCTAAATATTTCAAACTCCTGAAGCAACTTGGAATACTAGCAAGGGTACATAGGATGTGCTTGATGTGCTCCATAAATAGTAACAATAGTAAATCTGCTTTTACAAGTACACAGATAAAGCAAAGTGACTGAAAAAGAACTGGGGCCAGTGATGACACAGCACAATACAGATCACAACGCTGTCACCTTGTTCTACCTATGTCACCAAAATTCCAGAACAAACAAGGTTACACAATACACTTGAAAATATTTCTGGCCAATCACTTTCAACACATGACATCAGTTCTTGTTAACTGAATTATGTACAGATATTCTACACTTATCAATGCAAGTTGAGGCAAAGTGATAGTAAAATACAACCAGAATTTAAAATGTGTTATTTTTACTTCAGAGCTGCACAGCAACATTTCCCAATACAGAAAAAAAAATTAAAATAAAAACTTACAACCAAGTATAGAAAACCCCAAAACAGCTAAATTCTCTGCTACTACAATCATGTACAATCCTCTTCCATATTCAATTTCATTGCTATGAGAACACTTTTAAACTGATCTTTTATTTGCATAAATACCTAATAGCTACATAATCAGCCAAGGTTGAAGCATATTCTCTTGTTTAAGTTGAAGTGAAATGGTTAAACACTGAAGGACAAAGGTTCTCTCAACACTGAAAACTTTATCAAGCAACCCTACAGTGCTCACCTGGTATTATTTTCACGAGTATGCTACAAAGTAATATGATCTCAGCAATTGTGATCAATAACCGAGTTGCTGTTCTTGTCCCTTGGTCAAGCTGCTTTGAAATGGTGCCTTTGACACCTTAAAAAATAATAATAATCACAATAAAAATATTAATGATTATTACAATAACTTCATCAGCCAAATATTGGCTATTATGTATCATATACCATATATGATCTTCACAAACCTACCAAAAAAGTATTGTAACAAGAGACACACAAGAAAATCTCAAGGTCCTATTTAGAATGCTAACTAACTATCAAGAGGTGTAGAGAACAATATTACCACAAGCATAACCAGATAAAGAAAAAAAACTTTAATGATTATTACAAGAACACAAATGTGAACAGGTAACAAGACTGAGATATGAACCCTTCTCAAGCACAGTATATGGTGTGTATATATAAAAACAAGTTTCAATAAATATAGCAGCCTAGATCTGCAATCTTTTCATAATAAAAAAAAACAACTATCATGTGAAAATAAACTAAAAAATTATAATCAAGTTAAGACCATTAATAATCTGGATAACTACCTGTGAAAGAATTATTGAGTAGCACCCTCACTGTTTGAAATATATGATCATATTACCTAATATCAATTTTATCTCGTCTTTCTCACGTAAAACTCACTCTCCTAACTAAATGCACCATGTGATTTTAAAAATTTATTTCAATATCAACAACTTGTATTTTATCATTTGAAATTAATAGAAATGCTTCTTCATTTAAGAATGAAGAGTAATGATTACCTTTTTGCCATCATGAATTCACAAAATTGTTAATGAATAAAATTTTAAAAATACTTCTTTTAGAGCATTCCTATGACAACAGCCTGACTATAAAAGCACTTGTATAAGACAAATGCAAGGATTACATGAACTACCAACAGAACTATTCTGAAGGAACTGCAAAATAATTCTTACTTTTGTGTCTAAGAAAATGAGGCAGAATATTGCATTCCTATGTCCAATTTGCTTACAATCAGTATTACAAGAAAACATAGAAAAAATGGAAGTTATACCATTGAACAGGCTGAGCTACCTATCAGCAAAGTACCTTGACCAAAAACCTTCATTAAAAAAAAACATAAGTACATTTCTTGAGCAGTTCTGACATTTTATCCTGCCAGACTATCATAAAATCCAACTTTGCATCTGTCATACAAATTCTGGTTAATACAAATATAACTATATCAAGAGATTCATGGAAGTTAAGAACTGTAAAAATATTACTTTAAGTAGAATCAGCATTGTCTTTTAGTAAACTTGCAATACAGATCATGTCTACATTTTAAAAAGATGAGCCAACTACTGATTCTGGTTCATCAAGATCATAAAGTTGTATGTGAGCTGCCCTTAACTTCCTAGCTCATATACAAATGTGTGTTTGTGGTTAACTGCAAAAAAGAATAAGCTCTTTAGTATTACATTTTCACTTCCACAAATAAAAACATTTTTATTTGTAGACTTCAGAGAGACCAATATCTATATAGCAACCTTTCCACCCAGCAAACAGATTACCCACTCAACAATAATAAAAAGTGGAGGATAAAAAAAAATCTAAACTACACTTCATCCATACAAAATTAATTGCTCTTCTATGCAATTCTAAAATCAATTACATGCAAATATGAAAGAAAAATGTGTAACATTTGTAGACTGTTTGCTACTCTTGTCCAGGCTCTGAACAGAACTGTCTCCAAATAATGAGTATGCAACGAGGCAGGATCTCTTAATACAACCTATGGCCCGTACTTGGGAGTATACGCCAACTGAGTAATATTCACTGACGTACAATTTCAATTATCAAATGGCATCATTAACAAACTTTACTGATAGTATGCATAAGCTTTATACAATATATCTTTGAAAAATACTTGATTTTGTAAGTAAATAGGAATTAAAATTCTAAATCTTATGATCTATCAGGTATTTGTAATGCAATTTTAATTTTCTTTTCTGGACGTTGTAGTATTACAAGGTATCTAGATTGGGAAGAATCATACAACTTATTCTTAAGATTTAAAGCTTCTGAGATACTATGGGTAAAGAACACAGTTCTCATTATGGACATGCCTCTGTTCTGATTTGGACGATATGACCTGCACATGAATATTACTATGTACTTTGAAATTCATAAAAGAAATATTCACTTAATTACAAAAATCCTGTACATTAAGAGTCAATAGTAAAAAAGAATTGAAATAAGTCAAATATATATATATAATCTAAAATTAAAGCAATTTCATTTAAAACAATTTTTCCGTCAACTACTTTCTGCTTCACAAACAAGAAACAGCGTAAGATTAAAAAAAGAGGGGCACACTTTTAACAAGTTACATTCCAACACTTCCCAATAGCTGCTTCTCCATACATCAATATAATATTCCTTTCTCATGCACTAATTCCAGGTTATAAAGCAGAAGAGATGACAGCCACTCCCAGCCTTCCCCTCAAATGGCAGACACATGCCAACCTGTATGCGACTTTTGTTATCATCATTTACACCAGAAGTTCCTCAAAGTATCAATCCATCCTCAAGAACTTGCATTTTTACAAGTGTAAAAAGTCTTTGTAAGATAAGTCCAGTTTCTGAGGTCTTCATGACACAGCGTAAACAAGTTTGAAGCTGAATACAGGAAGAAAACACAAGTTTAAAAAAATAATATACAGATGTTCTGGTCTTATGATAAATCATCCTATTTCAACCAAAACACTGTAATACCTTCCAACCAACATCTCATCTCATGCTTTGCTTCACATAAATACATTTAAATACAATCATTTACACTTCAATAATTATCTCTGCGTTGGTAATGATGTTGCGATGGAGAAGCATGTGGCTGGTTGTTAAATCTGGAACTGTAAGCTCTACCCCTGCTCCCAGGATGCTTTCGCATGTTGAACCTGAGAAAGGAAGACTAGTATTCAAGCAACGACTTAGCCTGTAATTTTGCAAGAATCTCACAGCAGCTCTATTAACCTGGACATTTACTTACTCATTTCTTTTTTTCACTTTGTTTTACAGATTGGATTTCTCATGCAAATTTTAACTAGAAAATATTTTCTGATACTCTTTTCATATTGCAGCATAATTTTTTTTATTTATCTTTGTTTACTGAAAGTAGCAATCAAGACATTTATATTTCACTTTTGTAATTACAATCAACTGCATGGACTCATTACTATACATGCACATTTACAAAACTGAAACTGTTCCTAATTTTAGATCTAATCAAAAAAATCATCAATGACTAAATAAAAATTCAGACGTTTATGCAAACTAAAGAAGACTCACCTTTCTCTGTCACACTCCATATCTTCCAGTCTCTGAGTCAGAGCTAGCTTCTGCTGGATGGCCATTCGTAGCAAAGAGTTTAGTGTCTTTTTCTCCTCTTCAGCTGCCACTAACTGACGTTGCACCTCGTCTAACTGTGTTACATACTCCTCACAACGTGCAGCAAACATAGCACGGAGACCTGTGATTCACAGAAACAAAGCATACTTAACATATCATAAAGCTAGTGCTAATCTCAGTTAAATCATCTTTAAACAGAGATCAATATAAAAGTTCCCCAAAAAATTGATGCTAACATACTATTATTTTTTAAACAGATGTATTTTGTTTATAAGGCTATCAAAGTACATGTGAAAACAAAAACAAAACAAAAAACTCACTGGAGAATGTAGCAGCATCTTCCTTCAAGAGACGCAGTTCGTTGCGAAGTTTCATCATTGTTTCTGAGACTATGCTCTTTTCTGTTTCATACTTGGACTTCAGATTGGACAGTGCCACCTACACATAAAAGAAAATTCATATAACATGTCCTGGTACCTGATACAGCAGTTTCCCTTTTGGAATATAATACCAATCAGCTGTAAATGACATACCTAAAATAAGAAATAGACATTGACAAGATTAAATTTAAAGAGATTATAAATACATCAGTAATTTAGTCATATCATTATAGTTTCCTAAAATGAGAAATTGCTGAAGCGTAACAGTACTTTAAAATCAAATATCTAAATACAACTTCAGCATGATAAACTCAAAGCAGATGACAGCTTCAAATTTTGATCCTTTAAATTCTACTTATAAGAAAATTACAAAGTTCCCTTGATTTAATTACCGATAAAGTAGACACAACTAGCAAATCAGAAAAAAAGCCTTACCTCTGCAGTCTGCTTGTTGGCCTTCAGTACGGTGCGAAGCGTGGCAATCTGTTCCCTCTTAGTGGAGAGCAAGGACTTCAGTTTGATCACCTGCTCTTGAAGTTCCTGTACTTCACTTTCACTAAGACCACCTGGGTGAGATTGAATTTATTATTTAAGAATAAAATAATGCAAAGGATGAAATCTGAATTAGCACATGAATAACTTCATTTTTTGTGTGTTTTATACATTCTGTAACATTTTGTACTAAACTCCCTATAAAATAAACAATGTTATCTTTCATAAATGCACATATTTACAGTTTCAATTGAACAAAGACTCTACCAACATCAAATTCTGCAATCTGACATTATCTTGTGGATGTAAAAGCAAAACGCAAGTAATCTCACTACACTTACTATCAGATGATGCACTCTCCCTGAAGTGTCCCTTCTCCTTGCTTAATTCTATAGTATGTTCCACAGCCTTCTTCAGATTTCTCCCTGAACTTAATTCAAAAAATCTGAAATCTGGATGAAGCAAAAAAAATACATCAAGAAATATAAATCACTTGGAAAAATTAAATCTTGTAATATATATTTGACTTGGAAGGAACAAATAATACCTGCTTAAGGAAGAAGAATACAAAATTGTTCTTTAACATCCTACCTATACTTGTAAGGAAGCTACACAAATATGCCTAGACTTACAAAATCTGTCAGAGGAACATCTGTTCGCAACTTGTTCTTTAGATTCTCCAGCATTGTTGTAATCTGTGTTGGTGAAGATACTTTTTGGTCCTCTCCATCTGCAAAAGAAAAAAAACATTTATCAGATAATTGAAAAAAAAAATATTAGAGTAAATCACATAAATACATTATAACAGATCAAAACAGAAATAATGTAGCACATAATTAGTATTAATCCAATGCCACCGGGTAAAAAGGTTTGGCAAGTGGACATAATAACGGGATTCTTGGCGCATATCAGCAGCTTCGCCTATTTACGCCTGGCTCATTTGGTAGTTTGCGAGTGACATTTGGTACCTAAAAGCTTTTATTTTGCTATAATTTATAAAAATATTATAATTTTGAAGGTTTACCTTCATTAAAGATGCTATTGCCTAAAATCTTTACAATAAAAATGAAGTCACTACTATCGGAGAAAAACAAGCTCCATCTGACGAGCCAATGGCACAGGAATGGTCAAGATAAAATGCCATCCATTTTTTGGTCCACAACAGCCATGGCATGTACGTACAAGCCACCCAGCGGCTAGTGGTTGAACCGGGTTCATTTCATTTACATCTACAAGGTTTCTATAAGTGTATCAAATGATCTACACAATCATTAAAAACTTACAACTTTAATGGTGCTTGATAAAAAATGGATATGGAACCGATTTGACTTCTCTCTTAATAAATGTAATTAATATATATCATGAACTCATTAGCCTTTACATATTCAAGTATTTTCATTTCATGGAAAAATAGCAACCTTTGTTTACCCGATTTATGTCTTTCCAGACCAATTATAGGTAACAAATGTGTCTTCTATAATCATTACACTTCTAACTTTAAAATCTTCAAGAAGGAGCAGACATCACTTACCAGAACTCTTCTCTGTGTGATGTCCCTGTTTACTGTGATCAAGAAGTACCCTTGATGGGGTTTCCCCATTGACTGTGCACACATGGTGATACAGCTGTGCAAGCATTTCACTGATACTCCTGTTCAGGAAAAATAATATAATGTTATCAACTCAAAAAATACTGAATAAAATATTTCACTCCCATTTACTATACAAATAATCTGTAGTGAAATGTGCTATATATTTAAAGAGCTGCTTATAACAAATTTATATCAAAATGAATCTATTATAGATACCTAAAATAAAGACGAATGATATTTTGCAAAAACAAATTATTATATCAAATTAAAATAGAATTTTCCACCATAAGCCAACAAAATTAGATGAATTTCTTCATCCTGATAAATATGCCCTCCCTCTTTCAAAAAAAGTACAAACCCTAGATCATTTTGTGTGATTGAGAGTGAACCCTCTCGGCTGTTAAGCATCTGGCTCAGGATGTTCACATCATTGCCCAGATCCATGGACTTCTGTTCAGCATCCACCAGCTGAAGAAAAATATATGTAAGTATAAGTTGAGGTTATATACAATGAAATAAAAACTGCTATCAAGACTAAAGACATTTATAATAATCAATCATAGCACTCACCATATTTCTTCATCAAATTAGTAAGTAATATTACAGAGGACTTTACAACAGAACATTTAAAAGCCAATAATTCATACCCTTGCACGTAGTGTTCCAACTTCATTACGAAGTTGCTGAACAGCATCACTTGCTCCTGCAGTTTCAGAACTCTGAATTTCTGCCATGCTCTTTTTGAGTTCATTGATCTCTTTGGCTGCAACTTGATACCTTGACTTTTGCTTCTCCAAAAAGCTCACCAACATAGCTGAATCATCAGCATTCATCTATAGATTTAAAATTTGGCATTATTCAAACCTAAGCCAAAGAATAACATCTCTATAACAAATTTCAAAATTTTTATTAGCACAACAAATTTTCCAAACAATCTAATAGCAAACGCCTTACCTGGCTAGGATTTTCCTGATCGTGCAGCTTTACTAGAGCAGAGATATGCCCCAGAAGATGTGACACTCTGGCATGCTGTGCATCTAGCTCCTGACGGGTCTTCTCCAAGCCTTCCTGACTCTCTTTCAGGTTGGTAGTAAGCTGACTCTTCTCATGTTCCGCCTGGTAAGAATAATCAACATGATACATATGGTACACACACAAAATTGTCTGTACATTATGGAGTATGTCATTTAATCCAATAATTGAACTTATTACCTTGCTTCTTATTTCCCTTCCCATACTATATCTATTTCTATGACATAATCCAGTGCTCAGGTAACAATTACAGATACTGTTAACAGAATTATAACATTTCTCAATTACTTCTATTTGCAGACATAAAAGTAAAGCATACCTCCTCAAGCTTCTTCTCCAACTTCCGAAGCTCATTCAAATGGATTTCAGAGAACAGATCTCCCCCTAGAGTCTCAGCTGATCCTCCTCCAGCACTCATCAGCTCTGATTCTAACCTCCTAAGAACAGGAGTATCGTCTTCGCCATCACTCTCACCAAAATCTGTGCTTCCTAAATTAAAGGGCCAAGTAAATTACAAGTATTAGCTCAGTCCAACCTAATTTTTTAAAGACATTATCCTTCAGGAAATACCATTTGTTTGAAAAAAGCTTTTCGAGACTGACCTGAGAGTTTCATGCTCATGGCCAGGTTGGAGAGGTTGTACATGGACTCAGAATTCATCCTGGCATCCAGTTCCTTCTTGAGAGCATACTTTGCCTCCCTCTCAGCTTGCAATGACTCAAGTGCTTCTTCCATCTGCCTCTCTGCAATCTTCTTGAGGTTAGCAAGCTCCTCCACCTGCGAGTTGAGCACATCCGTCTCTTCCTGAAGGCGTCGGATCTCATGTTTGGCTCCTTCAAATTCAACTTGTGACGACCTATAATAAATCATTCAAGACACTGAAGTTTTAAGATTTCTAGAAGATATTTAGAAAATCTATACTTCTTTAAAACAGGGCATTCTATGTTATATATACTGATAGTATATAAAATAGTGTATATAAACTAATAGTATAAAAAAAATATATTGCATAAATAAGAAAACAAAATAAGAGAGACCTAAACCAAAACAATAGATCAGTGTTTTCTCACTCGCAGAAATGAGAACTGGCAATATCGTGTTTAGGAGCTACACAATGTCCCGTCCCTAGTTAATCACATAATGGCACCAGTGGGAGGAGAGGCAGAGGTGGCTCACATATGGCCACACCCATCTCATTTTACTTTAATACCTTCAAGTATCAACTTACCAAGGGGAATTTCCCAGTTTTAAAAATCTAATAGAAAAATATTTGGCTTTACTGTGTATAGAAATATATACTATACAGTATGAGTAATATATCATAAATAACATATCATACATAAACACACACACACAGGCGCACACACCCACACATGCACATCCACACACATGCACCCACGCACACATGCTCGCACAAGCGCACCCATGTACGCACACAAGCACACACGCACGCACAGTTCTAATAAAGATAATGGAAAAAAAAAAATGCAATGACACAGACACACAAGCGCACACACACACACGTCTGCACAGACACATTTAAAATTTATTACTTAAATAGAAAAATAAGAATATTGTATGCTTTGCCACTGTATGAACACAAGCAAACAATTACTTATACTTACTTGAGGTTAGAGATCTGCTTTTGTAGCGTAATGTTCTCATCTTCAAGCTCTGCATAGTCCTGGAAGAGCCTCGTCTCTCGGAACTTGAGGTCTTTGAGTTCTGTTCTAAGCTGTTTCTTCTCATGATCACTTATATCTTTATCCTTGAGGAGCTCATGAAGTTCTGTGTAGTAACGGCTTTTTTCACTCTGCACACGTTCTAGCTCAGCTCGGCACTGTTAACAAGGAAAGAGGTTTGTACTTTGATTAGTCTTGCTCAGCTGAAAAATGGAGAAACTCTAAAGAAACAAAACTTGTATTAGCTTTGTTTCCCAAAAATATTGCCCAAAATTGAGAAAAAGTGTAATCATTCCTAACATAAACTTAATCATAATATATCCATTTCAATTTTGTTATTAACATTGTCAAAAAAAAAAAAAAAAAAAAAAAAAAAAAAAAAAAAAAAAAATCAGACCTTGATTATCTATCCCTATTAAAGTTCATAATTTAATCACAAAAAAACAAAAATTGAAGGCTATGATTTACCAGAACTTCCTACTACTATCATATCAAGTAACAATCAAACAATTTTTGGATTATAACAACCAATAATACTATACACAAAAAGACGGATAAGCATCACCACACCCAAATCTAAAAACTAGTCATCTTAGAAACTTTATCATTGACTGTGTGACTCACAGTTCTCTCACCTCCAGCCTCCGGTGAGTGAAAGGCAGTAGAAATTCCTAAGCTACCATATATATATCTTTCCTTTCTTTCATTTATCTGTTTTATTCTCTTCTATTCTTTTACATTCACTCTAAATCACTAACTTTTGTTTCCTTTCATTCTCAACCACTCAATCATCCTCTCTCTTACTCACATTACTTAGCACTCGCACTCATATTTAGGCACTTGTACTCACTCACACATTCACTCATTCATAGCTCTCATTAACTCTCTTCTTTTCACTCTTCATCATTTCTCCTCTCTAACACTCTTACTCTCCCTTTTATTCATTGTTTCTCCACCCTACATATTATCCCTTCGTCTCCTCTGCAATCAGACATGACCAGTAATGTAACATATCAAATCCTCCTACTCACCTGTTTGGCTTCAAGTTCAAGCTCGATGATCTGGGAGTTAAGAGAGGTCTCCCTGGCAGCCGATTCTGACAGCAGGCTCTCTTCAGTTTCAATTCCGCTAGCAGTGGCCACTCGGTGTGTTGTCTGGAACTTGGCTAAGGCCTAAAACAAAAGTAAATCACTTTCAATAGTAATCCTTGAGATACAGTAAGGTTAAAAGTCATATGTATCTTATGAGAAAACAAAAACATACAACATACAATATCAATACCTTATGGGATATTTTGGAAGGCTATGAGATACATGTGGTTATATGAAACAAATTTCTATCCATTATTCAAATATTAAAATGGCTGTAACATGTTGGGTGTAGTTGTAGTGTATATCCTTGTAGCTTTTCTTTTGCAGTTTTTATTTTTAGATAATAATTAGTATATTCAATTCACTTCTGAAATTAAAGACGGCTCCACCCGCTTTTCTCAGTTTGCTTATGAATTCTGCTTCTAAGAAGCAATTAGCAGTTAATAATGTGTTTCCACATTTACTTCCTAACATCCTTTCTGTGGGCTACACACCAATATATCTATAGGATGTATGGTAATCTGAATAAAAAAAAAAAAAAAAAAAAAAAAAAAAAAAAAAAAAGGAATAATAACAATTTCTTTCCTGACCAGATTATGGGAAATGACAAATTACACATTTAAGTAATTTTGAAAGAATTAATTTATGAGAAGTCAAGGATTTACCACAAATTCATGAAGGGTATTTTGAAAAAAATGTAGATAAAATATAAAAATACATTTGCTCTTACATCACCATCTTTGTCTCATGAAAGACAGAACATGAATGACATTGAATTATTATATACTATAGCATTTATGAATTTGAACTCCCATCAACTGACTAGTCTCTAGTGAAGTGCTGACAACGTAAAAATATAGCCACCACAGAATCCCATCTCAGAGCAGATCAACCAACCAAAGCGAGCACAGTATTAGGAGCCTCTTGCAATTTCTTAAGCATAGAGTATAGTATGCCAGCCTAGCAGCACTTTTGTCAAGGGTCACTATATTTCCTGTAATTCTTTACATTAAGGATACACTTGCCAACCTAGCACTGCTTGTGTCTAGCGTCATTCTATTTCCAGTAATTCTTTATACTACGTACGTATTCGCCAGAGGCTAAGTCCCTAACTCCATGTCACAAAATCTATTAACAATTTAAGTTGCCGTGACTGGGCATGACCTTTGAGCTTCATGTAATTTCTTCCTTCCCATTGGCATGGCTGAGATAAAGGCATGGTAAGCAAGAGGTGATGGTTTGTGACAAGTTCTTCTACAGAGTATGGAGAGAGTAACACAAATAGAGCTAGGATAGGGGGTGGCGCAGACAAGGTGAACTAAGCCCACTGCCCATTGACCATAAGCCGTACTGCCAAGGAAAAAACATCATACCAAAACAGTACTATTGAGTTATTACCACATCCCCTTACTAATTCAGCTAAGAATTCCACAAACTAATCTAACTTAAACTAGTTTCACCACTCACTTGCCTATCCTATCCTTATGGACACAGCCACAAAAGGGGTGTGTAACCTGAGCCTCAGAATGTTGATATTGCGATACTCAATGGCAAAGTTTCAACCAGCCGCCTTCCATGGCAAACTTTATATGGAAACAGCAGAGAGAAAAGACCCAAGAAAATTAACATCTATGTAACTTGTCACAAATATTTTATACAGAAGTGTGAAGAAGCAAGAGAAATAAAATGCAATCAATAACAAATGTCAAATTCTAGTGTTCTATGCAATTATATTGAGCATCCTGGTATTACTAATCTTCAACTAAAACATTATATTTCCATTTCTTGTGTACTGTTGGCAAATTTCCAGACAAAATTATCTTTACAAATGCTATTGACTTTTACTTTTTTCTGGATCCATACACAGCTGGCACTATATCACCATACATTGTTTCCCAAATAAAGCACTGACAATCATTTTTCAGATAGATCTTTAAATACAAAATAAATATTTGCTATAGTAACATTGGTCAACCATTTAGATGCATATAATTCAGCAAAATTATAAAGATATAATCAGCTTACCTCTTTCAATTAATTAATCTAATAGAAAAGTTTATCTCTGCAATTATCTAATTCATGTAAAAGGGTAAAATCCAATAATACAAAGGATATTACAAGAGAACATAACAATAACTATATACATTTGTGCATTTGTGTAATTAAGGTGACAGCAATTAAACTTCAGGTAGAGAATTCCCACAGGGAGGAGCAACATAAAAAACTAAAGGCCGAAAATGAGATCTGAAGAAATGAGCGTCACAGACCGGCCCAGAAAACGCCCAAAAGCCCCACAGACCCACAGACGAGCGGAAATCTACCGGAATAAATCCCCGACAGACAGACACAACAGACACAGCCAACCGCACCTTCACCTCCCACGGACGACCCGCCAGCTGACGACCCTCCCGACCCTCCCCCTTCCTCTCTTTTCTTCCCTCCTCTCTCTCCCCCTTTATTACCCTATATCCCTATCTCCCTTTTCTCACCTCTCTCGTGTTGTCGAGTTCATGTTTGGTGTTCTCGTAGAGCGCCTCCAAATCCTCGAGTCTCGTCTGCAGGCTCTCCTTTTCCTCCAGCAGCACCAACCCGTACTGAGCCGCCTGGTTTTTCTCGCTGCTCGTCTGGTCTAATTCCAAGTTCAACCTCTCCAGCTCCTGCTTGAGGTTGTCGATGGACTCCAGCGTCTCGGCCATCGTGGAGGGGCGTCTCGGGAAGGCTTAAAGTGACGTCAAAAGAGAGAGAGGCTGGCCCATCGCTCCTTCCTGCGTGAGGGTCAGGGCTT